AAAGGCATGTGCAAAATTGCTTTATTCMTCCTTTTTCTGTTTATTCTGATGTGACAATTTCCCATGGCTAATCTTCAGCCTTATTTACAGCTGTACAGTTTTCATTAGCTAGTTTACAGTTTAACAGTTTCACTGAGTGTCAAAATACTTTTGATATGCACTTACATACCTATGTGCCTTCTTTTTCATTCTATATGGAAGCAAGTTGACTTGTTTAATTTATCTGGTCCACAAATAACCTTAATTCTACACTTTCTTTTTATCAAACYGCTCTATCAGCTAACAAAAGTCACRAGTCAGWGATACCAAATGAAATATTTAGTAACTTGCTTTTTTCTGTATCTTTGCTTGTATAAAGTTATTGTCTGGGTTATAATATTTTTCAARAGTTTGATTTTTTTCCCTATTTTTTCTAATGCAATTTCTGCTTGACAGTGACTCCAGTCTGCCAAAAAAATTTGTCAATATTCTAACTTAGCTACTTATGTTACAATTACTGTATCCATTTCTTGAACAAGTAAAAGTAATACAGCAGATTGATATGAAGATACCACTTAGACTTTTTGATTCCCTCAGTGTTTTCCACTAGGGAAAATCCAAGGCTGGTTTCCCATAAAGATTTGTTTTTATAATTTGTTTTTTATTATTTGATTTCTTTGATTGAAGTCTATTAAATTGTTATTTCCCATAGAAAGACAAAAGCAGAAGTAGGAAGTAGAGATGTGAAAAGCTGCTTCTTAATATATTATTTAGAGACCACAACGAAGTCCAGACAATCTGGCTAGTACAGTGAGCTGTCAAGCTGGACACAGACTGACAAAACTGAGAAAGACTTGTAAATCACAAGGCTATTTGCCATGGGAGCAAGTTGGCTGTATTTACCCTGGAAGTAATTTAGTGAAAAAGCACTGCTGTGCCTTACTATGGACRTAGCTGCACTAACAAACTGCTTTTWCTTAGTCTGTCCAAATTACTTTCTCTTTATATGTCCTTGGTTGAAACAACCTCTGTCAGCAGAAACAGAGTATTGCCAGTATAACTTTCACCAGCTTCAACAGTTGTTTTCATTACCTCAAAATATGATGTGATAAAAATAAAATCTATGGCAACTCTAATAGTAGCTCTCAACTCAGAGTTATATAATAAATACAGTCCATGAACTCCTTGTGTAGATGAGATGTAGGTAGTGGGGTGTTTATTATTTTAGGAATACTTTCTCCCCACTGCTATTATGATGTGTTGGTACAACTTGCTGTGCAGCACATTCCAGCAYTACTAATTGTTGTTTACTATTAGGGTTAAGAGTCCCCATAATCTACCTACTGGGCATTTTCTTTTCTGTTTTATAATATCCAAAGATTTTTGAAAAGCACCAATACAGTCTTGCATTTCATTATTAAYACTGAAATCTTAAGGTTAGGCTTGGAGAAGCAATGGAATATGCTTTTTGGAATGGAATAAGCTTTTTGTTTTACTACCTTTGCTCTAAAAGGGATTACTAATTTTCTGTTGTTGTMATTTTGAATTCCAGACATAACAATCATTAGACCTGAACACTGTGAGTATAATTCCAGTGCTCTTGTGTACCTGGTGTTCAGTTCACCTAGAATTTTTAAACATGAAGAAAGGGACATAGAAAGATAGAAAGGGTGACAATATTTTTTTCCATATAARATTGTATCAATAGAGCAGATAAAAATAAACTTTGTGCATGTACTCTGAGCACAGAGAGGGGTTTGAATTGTAGAAAGGAGAGTTAGGAAAMTATTCATAGACGTTCTTGTAGGATGGAAGATGTAAGACTCCTCCCTCTCCCTTATGCAAAGAAGTGTATCCTGGGGACAGGAGAGGAAAAGCAGGATAGGTCTGTGACTGCCCAGCTGTCAYCCACAAAAGATGGTGACCAGTGGTACTCAGGAGCAGAGTCCCAGTTACTGACTACAGTCATACGAGTTGTTGTTTTAGTGGGTATATGGCTCAAGCCAGCTACAGGCTCCTTGGAGTACACAGCATATCACTCTTCTGGTCTAAGCTATTCCTTTGCCTCTGTCCTGCAGAATACTGGGTGTGACACCAGCTCCTGGCTCTTCTACTACCTCAGCTAGGCAGGTGTTGAGATGTATATAGTTCAGATATTTTACAAACCTATGGTTTTAACTGTTTGGTTTCAAGGAGTATGTACAATATTTTTTCCATCTGGTACTTCCAAGTATCCTTGGAGTGTTTCCAACAATAGCAGCTCCTCTCTGAAGATCTTAAAGTAGCAGAGCTCTTCTGAAGAATCTCTTCAATACGTTTTTGTCTGTGAAAGTACAGAGTTTGGTATAYAAACTGTGTGACTCTAAGGAGCTATTGCTTGTTCTTCAGTGGTCTGTGGAAAGGACAAAACTGCTACAGAAACCAAGATGATTTTGAAATACCAGTCAGAAGTGAATTCAAGAACATTTAAGTAAGTTCCTGTAGCTACATCTCTTACTGKAAAAAGGAGATAAGATAGAGACAAGTGTAAAAGCTGTGCACACAGTCTGTATCCACTATGCATGACACACTGTGCTCCTCATGTCTCAAAGAGTGAATACATGAGCATTATATTTATGGAGTACAGATGGAATAACAAACTAAAACTTCCCATGTTTTTGTGTGTTTAAAATTTACAAGTAAAATTTTTTGAGAAACAGATTTGTCATTCAGGAGGAATTATGATTATAGCTTATGAAGAGCAGATAGTTGATTAAGTATGTAATGCACATCAGTGTTGTGTTCGTTCAGCCTCACTGTGAACTTCACTGGCTTATCAGAGTGTAAAAATTAAATAGAGATATGTTATTTTCAGTCTCCTTCAGCTGCAGCATATCACTATGACCATGATTATAAACAAGCTTCTACAAAAACTTTCAGTATTTCTGGTTTAATAATTAGAGTGGTTCACTGATTGATATTTATGTGTCGACCACTTTCATCTAAGTATGGGCTATCAAAAGAGGTAGTTTTGCCTTCCCCCTCAGTCCCAACCACAATGGTCACTTCTGTCAGAAGTGGTGSACTGTTCCTGGTGGTAATCAAACCCATGAAAAAAATAAATGAGTGCAAAAATAAAAGTGTTTTTCATCCACATCAGCTGCAGTTTCATCCTGCAGCCCCAGGCACCTTAATATTGACATAAGGGTTAGGGAGAGGAAGCAGAGCTGGCAACAGGGACTAGGGGACCTCCCTTTTCCACATTTAACTCAGCATAATCTCAGTTGCAATCTCACTGTTTCCACTGCAYTTAAAAAATGCATTTACTGTCCACTCTGTGTTGGTAAAATACACAGTTACTATTTATTTCTATTGACATACCTGTTAAATAGTTCCTTGTGGGACACTTATACAGGTGCTTGGATGTTCTCCCCAGATGGATGTACTTAGAGCAATGTAAAACTCTACACTACTATATTATATATACATTATAGATAATAATTATTATATGTTACATATAATCACTAATAATTATCACTATATGGTTATGATAAAATGTATGCTACTACAATATTAATAACCTCTGGTTATTAAGTTATTTCCCAATGTTTTAATTGTTGCCATTCTTCAAAAACCAAGGGCAACAAAATCGATTGATCTTAAAATGGGTTTAATTATGATAGTTTAGCTTGTGGGTTATCTTTATAAGCAAAAAATCCCCTCTGTAAGTCATCAGCCTTATATCTGTTCCTGTCTTCATGCATTACACMTTTGCTCTCTTGCATTTTTCACTTCTTTGATCCCTTTCAGTTGAGTGGGACACTCACTACCTTTCTCTTTACTCCCTAAATTATATCATTCTAAGTCTGGATCACTTTTGTATTTCTTCTGTTGTCTCTAGGTCTATTTTGTTTGGAGCAGACGCTCCCCCTGGTGCTCTATTTTGTAGTGTGCAACATATAGTCCAAATGGTTAGGTTCCCAGTTATCTAACAGATTCTAGGGGAATAAAGGAAATTATTAATGATYTTTTTTTTTTAAATTTGAAATTCATCTACTCATTTTAAAAGCAGCTTTGAGTAATTTCCCCGTAATAAAATTGAGTACATTCTCAAGAAACTTTTCTTAAAAGTCTATTCTACTAGCAGTAGTAAACCCTGAGGAAAATGGGGGAATTGGAAAGATTTCAGTCAGCAAAACATAAAATCGGTTCTTCCCCATGTGTCTCTTCTGCAAAACTCCCATKCACCACATTGTTCTTGCAAGGCCACAGACCTGTCTTTGAAGAAGTTGTGCTGCAGACTGACTTAACCAGCCTGGGTGCTTTTTCAAAGACCTTCTATCCACCGTACAGACTTGTAGCTGCTTTGGTATTCTTATGGCCCAGTGTTATACCTACRTATGCATAATTGTTTGACCATAAATTGGCCCACTGATTTCAGTGAAATAAAGTTGCCTACAGGTATAACAGTCTCTGTGCAGTTTTGTGTCTTGCTGAAGCTTGAATTCTTACAGGTTTTCTCGTATGAGTGATCAGAGCAGTTTTGCTCGTTTGCATTCACATTCAATCARTTCAACACATGGAAGGGTCACTGCTAATGCAAAAATCTGTTTCATAAACCTTCTCCACTGTCTGGCTAGGATTGAATTCACACTTTGATAAAGCATAAAAACCCCGAGTTTTTCATGGTAAGCATTGTACCAGCAGCTTGGACTTCTGCCGTTAGTGTTTCTCCTAACTTCCTCATTTTGATTTAATATCACAGAAGAGGTGGTGCCTGCTGTAAGCCTTGAGCTTGCTGCGCCAGTTGGAAARTTAATCTGTTAAGAGTCAATAAGCAAAGCTGCAAACAGAATGCAAACACAGCTTAACTGTTATTGCATATAAACGCTTGTCAAATCTGAGGGGTTCCGGCTTCATTCGGCGTCTGATTTCATTCCGAAGATCCCAAAGAGCCCCCGCTGGCACCGGGGGATCGCGGCCCCGAGCGGGGACTCGAACCCGCGCCACAGAGCGGAGCAGGGCGGGTGTTTGCCTGTGCGCCTGCGCACTATGGCCGGGGCGGTCACGGGGCGGTGGCAGGGCCTGGAGATGGCGCGGCTGCTGGAGAAGCTTCCGCCGGGACGGGTGCTCGAGGTGGGCTCCCYGCGGCCCGGGCGGGGCGGGAGCGCGGTGCTCGCTGCGGGCAGGCCGGCGTGCTGCTCTCCGGCACCGGGCAGAGAGGCAGGGCCCGCTGGCGGCACGGGGCTGCGAAGCGGGGCTGACYCTGCCGCCAGGCCGCAGTGCCAGAAGAAAGTGCTTTGGGAATCTCGAGAGGCCCACGGGCTCGGAAATGAGCGATTGGGGTTGTGCTGTGCAGCCCGGCCATCCCAGTGCAGAGATGACTGAGGCGCCCTTTGACGCGGCATCTCAGGCGGCCTGTGTGTTTGTATGGACAGCTATTCATTCCGCGTGTAAGCCCAGGGTGAATCTGGATCACGGTGTGATTTCTGTGGCCAGACCTCATGAGCTGTCTTTAAGGGGAGAAGAGAGAACAGTTCTTACTCAGGGAGTCTGTGTTCATGCCTTTTTTGAATGGTGGCTGGGCTGCAGTATGAAAGCATAGAGGCAGTTCCCATTTGAGGGAGGGATAATAGCTGAATTGCTTGGTCAGTCTCARGTGTAGATTAACCGTGAGAGAATTACACTCATCAATTACATATCACGTCGTTTTAGTTCCTTCATAAAATCGTTGATGGCATCTGTGGCCGTGCATATCCTCGCTACCAGGATTATGGCAATGTTTGGAGTTTGTCCGAGTGGATGGAAGTTTTAGAAGAAACAATGACATATTTCAAAAGTGCAGTTGGCAAGAACATATCTGATGAAGAGGTAAGGGCTCATCTCTTGTTAACYTTGAGTTTGAGAGATCCTGACTTGAGTGATTATTCTTATAGCTTGTTTAATCCTAAAATGTTTTTAGAATGGAGGATTTGAAGAGCAGTGGATTAAGCTAAATAGGTACAATGTAAGCACCATTTAGGGATATGCTGCCAAGACTTCTACAACAAAAAGTGAAATTGATGCTGATTTTTAAATACTATTTTATAATATAGGRTATTTGTTAAAATACTGATTTAATCACTCAAATTGGTATTTTGAGTACCCCCAGGTTAAATCTGTTTGCATAATCTGTAAATAATACTGTTTATTAGCAATGAAACCAATTCACTTTATTGTCTYGCTTGCTTTATTCATTAGTACTGTATTGAAGTGGTTTAAAATACTGACTGTATGTAAATAAATTTTGTAAAAAATCTGACTGTGAATGGAGGACCATGTGTGTAGGCTCTGTAATTCAGGACATTCCAAAATGTATGAACTTTGCAAAATCCATGTTCCATTATTAGAAATCTTAATCCTCATCTCTTGCATATTGCTTGTATTTTGACCACCTGCTAGTAGCTCGGTCAAAGAAAGACACCTGTGCAGCTCTGGGGATGTCCCTACATCAGTMTTTCTGTTTCAGCTGAGCTGATGTCTGCTCTGATGCTTAGAAACTTGCAGACCTAAACCTGAGTTTAGGTGTGTGATTTTCTTTTGATTATTGGGTGGCATCGAAGAAGGCTGATAAAGCCTCCATTCTCTGGTGTCCTTTAATTTAAATCAGGAGWTTTTCTCTGTATGTTGCTGTGGTTCACACTGATTCTTAACTATCAAAGACACGGAGCAGCCATCAAGGGCAGTATAAGAATGAAGTCCAGTATTACAGCCATCAGCTTAGATTTGTACAGAGCACAGTTACTGCAGGTGGTACATGTTACTTCTGTGGTTCATAGTTGAAGTAATTAAAGCTTTTGTTTTTATTTTTGTAGGCTGCTCAGCAGATAATTGAGTTAAATTCAGACTGTCAGGAAGCAATCACAAAATGTCTGAAAGGTAGAAAGGAAGAAATCAGGAATGCCCTAGTAGAAAGAGTAAATGCRATCTCTTCTGCCCAGCTGCAGGATTTTGACTGGCAGTTAAAGGTGAGAGAATTATCTTAAAGTTACTTGAAAGAAATGTTCTACAACACAGAAGGAACTATTGATACAGACCCGTTAGGCCTACTTACTCTGCAGAATGGTTCAATTTTTATAGGTGTCATAAAAGTACATTAATGATAACACATCAAAGGCTTTCCAGAAATTTGTACAAACTGCAAAAGTAAATTTGAAAAATTTCTTTTGTTTTTCCCCTCTTTTCTTTTGAAACTGCTCAGGAAGACTTAGTGCTATTCAGGAACACCTGAAAATTTTATGTGCTGTTATGATTTTGTGTGCCTAAATAAACAGTATTTTTTCTCAAAGGAAGAAGTATATACTTCAGATTAGTTGACTGGTTCAAAATAAGTTTTATTGACTCTTTTAAAACGTTTATATTTTTGCAATAAACATTTATTTAATAATCTGTTAGAAATAATTTATCTGTAGACTTCCTGTTTTGGTAATAAGCCAGTGATAATGATGTTGCCTAAAGTAGGATGGTGGTTTGAGGTTGTGAAAACATCTGGTTTAAATTCAGCTCTATCAAAGACTTAAAAACATTACTTACACTGTTTATATTTTTAGTTAGACCATGAGATCTGTTAAAGAGATTTGTAGGGCTGTTGAGTAGTTTTCCGTGTTAGCAAGAGTGCTGAATTATTTCTGCAGCAAGCAGCTTTGGAAATCAAAGAGCAATGCCCAAAACAAATTTTTGCCTGAGCAGATATGGCATCATAATGTGCTTTATATGATCTGTTACTGGGCTTGATCTCTTGTTAGCTGCCTTTACATCTGGAGGATTTATTGAGTTTCTTTCTATTTTGTGATACACAGTTCTGGTATCTGTCTGAACTATTATTTTTGTTAAAACCATTTTTCCCCCCTTGAGGTGGTTATGTTCTTTCTCTTACCTTGATTGAACCCTACCACATTCTGTTCTCTAAATAAATAAGACAGGTCTGTACTATACTGACCTATAGTCTTATCAACTGATCTTTGATTTTAATACATTTAAAAGCCTTGACTATGTGTAGTATATATATATATAGATAGTTATATATGTAGTGAGTATAGTAATCAACAAAAAAAGGAAGCACAATTGGTATGTAATCTTCATCAGTGTTTGATTAGCTGCAGAGTGTTGAAAAATGCATAAACAACAACCCCATTCTGTGAGACGCTTCTTGCTGAATTTGAATATGGTGATTTCAGAATTCATATACTTTATTAAAGAGCCATGATCAAATGTAKCCTTTCTTTTTAGCTAGAATACTAACATGTGGCAGCCCAGTAATTTTAGCAAATTGTTTTTGATAAGTGTATTGCTGTGAAGAGGGGGTCTGTATTGTATTGTTGATATTAACAAACAAAAATCCCAGTAACAGGGAGGAAAAATCCTCAGAACTGCAGAGATAAGTTGTACGAAGTTAGTTTTGTCATGTTGATGTTGTTCTGGTATCACATGTTCAGTACTAAGTACAGATGTGATATTATGAAAGACTAAAACTTAYTGGCTTCTCTTTACCCTTTATTGTTGTGTTGTCCATTTGCATAGCTTGCTCTCTCCAGTGATAAGATCTCCATGCTGCAAATGCCACTCCTCAATCTTGATTTGGATGTGAGAGAAAATGGTGAAATTAAGCCRATTTCTATAGAGATGAATAAGGAAGAGCTGCAGAATCTAATAAATGCCCTGGAAGCTGCTAATAAGGTAACTTTTATCGATTTAATGGGGTTTTTTTCCTGACTTTTTATCTACTGATTTATTTTAAGCAAAATTTGTAGAATCAGAGTATTTTGGGTTGGAAGCACATGGAAAGATTGTCTAGCCTAAGCTCCCTACAATGAGCAGGCACATTGTTGGCTGGATTGGGTTGCTCAGAGCCCTATCAGTCTGACCTTCAGTGTTTCCAGGGGTGGGGCGTCTGTCCAGCGTTTCTCCACATTCATCTTTCTCATATGTAGATGAAATCTATTTTCTTTAATTTAATACAATCACCCCTTTCTTAAGCTGAAAAATTGGTGAATACTCCCATGTTCCCTTAGTGTCCAAAAATGTCGGTGTCTGGGGGACATATTAAGTCCTTTAATTTCCAAGGCACAGTAATTAAGGAAGAAAGTTAGAAAGATTACAATGCAGAAACCCCAGAAGAGAATTTCAAGTGAAACAATAAGGTTTCACTTGAACTGATCTGAGACCCTATAGAGTCTCAGATTTCTTAATAGAAAAGGCTAAGGAAAATGGTGTTCTCATGAAATTATAGCCCTTAACAGCTTTCACAGCTTGCTTTCTCAGAGATTTTCTTCCCTGCAAAATGAAATAAAAATAGTATGTGAGCAAGGATTCTTCTGGGACAGAGTTAGTGTTYAGACACCCTTGGTTCTGCTTTAGGGTCTGTATGGAAGATGTGGGATGTRGTCATCTCCTCACTGAGTTCTGTGGGTGCACAATGAGGAAATTGCTGCAGAACTGATCCCTTGGCTCTGCTTTGTGCAGAAGGAATGTCACTGGACCTGGTCTTGCTATTCCACGTCTTGATTAAAGGCAGCTGAAGAATGGTTTGAGTGCAGTAAAGAGTAAAGAAAGTTACTGAAAGTGATGGTTGTGTGAGGTTGTAGAAGAGAATTGAGAGATGGGTGGTGTAAAGGTTGYCCTTTCCAGAGGAAAGAAATGCTTTTTTCTTTGCCTATTATACTGAAACTATATTGTTGCATATTATATTGAATTTTGCATATTATACGAAATTGCATATTATACTGAAAGCAAAAGGCTTCATTTTGTAGACTGCTTAAGTTTTGGTCTTAAGCAAATTTAATCTTACTCCTTTTCTCCTTTTTGAAGGTTGTCTTACAACTGAAATGATGGAATTCTGATCATCAACAGTATCTGCTGGTGGTGGCTCCTCAAATAATTTGGGAAAAAAAAGTGTTTACAGCAAAGCGAAATGTTTTTGGTGCTGTAAAATACTGAAGTGAAAAGACCCTTATAAGTTGTGACCAAATGAGCTACTAATCCTTCAATAAGAACAATAAAATCTTGTATCTATTTGACCAAGAAAGTGAAAATCTAATGTACAGTTGCTTTTAGTACTGAAGACTTAGAGACATTTGGAAGAGAATCACAAAAAGTGCCATATTTTTTTTGCCAGAACTTTGGCAGTGACTACACTGGTGCCTAGTAAAACTAAGGCATCTTACTTGCATTGTATGTTACCTTATTTAAAGTGCCACGATAATGAAGATCATGAGAGAGTATTTGTCGCATTAATGTATTTATATTTGTAAATATGGTAAATAAACACCTGACTTYGTGTGTGAATAATTGGAGTAAGTTATCTTTTTATCTATGAATCACTAAACTCAGTCTTTTTAGATAATGRGGAAAATCAGCTTTTCAAATAAAAATAATGTTTTTTAGAACCACATAATAGTTGAGGTTGGGCATGACCTCTGGGGGTTATCTTGTCCAGCTTTGCTGCTCAAGCAGGGAAACCTAGAGCCAGCTGCACAGGTCAGTTTATTTTATTTATAGCTGTATTTGTGTTGACTGTGCTTTTTCATTTCCTCTAGGTCTGGTTGCTTTATAGGAAAAGAATATTCATAGAATATGTCCTATTCAAAGAATATGAAAGGTGGATATTTAAAAGTATTTTTTAGTGCATTGCTGAAGTGAACTTTTGCTACTTCTTCATTTTCAAGATCAAGTGTTCAAAAGTACAGTAAATTCTTTGAAATAATTGTATTTTCTTTATAAAAGTCCACAAATAATAACTCAAATTCTTTCTGTACAGCCAGTGAAATTTCTGTTGCAGAGTGCCACATCGCTCACTGATGGAAAGCAATTTTTTTAAATGTAGATGCTATTTTAAATGTTTCTGAGATTTTTTTTTTGGTAGTAGAGACCTAAAGTGTTTGCATAGTTTAATTTTAAATTCTATAGCAAGTTATGTATAAATGGGTTTCTAAGTAAGGGTACATAGTGGTGTTCAGTCTTTAGTATCATCCTATATTAGTCTGTTACTGCAGCACTGAACAGAAAAGGCTGAAAAACCTTTCTTCAATGTTTTTTTTGCTTTAACAAGAAAACAGCTTTCTGATACTGCTGTTGTTGACAGAAAAAAATGCAATGTGTTTCTTTTTTTTATAGGTGTTAGACTTCATTGAAGATCTGAGAATTTTTTTTAATAGGGGGCATAACAAGACCATGTGAGTGGCTGGAGTGGGACAGGAGCATCAGTTGATGAGCAATTGAGAACTAGCAGCTAAAACACAGCACTGCATTTGAAATGTGCATCCTGACCTTGCATCTCTACAGAGAAATCTAAGGCACGTAATGGCCTCCAGTAAATGGCAAGGAAAAGAGAGCTTGCTCTTTGTACCATCTGTCAGAAAGTCGTTTTTCTCTGACTGTGCTCAGAGCATTAGGTACTTCTGGAACAAGCAAGGTCCTCTGTTGTGACAGATAAGGCATTTGTGGAGACTGTGCCAGACCAAATTAATGCAAAAAGCTGGAGCTTTCACAGGACCCATTACACTGGTGTCATCTTCAGCAGACACTTCGCTGGATGCAGGCAGACTTGAGCAGGTAGAAAATAGGACAGGGGTATCTAAACCAAACTCATGGCCAGGAGTCTGTCAAGTGTGGCCAGCCATGCTCCTTCCTGGCTGAGGAAAAGGAGGATGGAAAAGATGTTGGCATTGCAGTTCCACGCAGAGAGAGTGAAGCTTTCTTCTAGGGAGTKAAGCTCGGCCATGCATGTCACAGCCACTGCAGGAACTGTATGCTGGGACCACAGTTAGATAAAACTGCACCAGTAAGAAAAGCTGAGGAGAGTTTGTGCTGTGAGAAGCACCACTTACAAAGAAACTTGTGCCTGTGACAAGAATTAGAGATGTGGGAGTTTAAAGAAACCCYGCTATCATTAAATAATTCTTAATTTTGTCCTGGCTTATCTACTCACTTTACCTGTATGTGTATTTTCCTGTGTTCTTCCAGGCATGAACTCTTTCTAATCAACTGGCTACAACATGTGGAATAGCTTTGGAGTTAGCACATCCCACCACAGTAGCTTGTAAATACTATTCCCAGAAGATGCTTCCCCTTTAACCCAATTCAAGAACATGGGTTCATGTTCTCCCAGTCTTTACCCTGCAGAGCAGCTCATTTCTGGGTCCTGCAATCTCAAGGGCAAAGAACCCCCCAACTGTTCAAGAAGTCTCTCTGGTTTTGCAGGTAGTAAGGAGAGATTTCTTGAGTATGTAAGTTATACCAGAAASAAAATGTGGCACAGAAGGCTTTTTGAGCCAAAAGCTAATGAAAATAGTGCCTACAATATAATGGACACACTATATGAAGTTTTAATGTCACCATGTAAAAAGCAACTACAAAAATTCACATTACAAACAGACCTGCATTTTAAATTATAAATATAAAATWGAATTATAAAATAATGTAACTTGCCTTCCACTGGCGTTCATTGCACTTTTCTCTGTTTCAGAGAAATCCCCTCTTGATTTCAGAGATAACACGTTTTTCGTATCAGCTATGTCAGCTTTGATCTTGATATGCTAAAGGGARCCAGAACTGCATGTGAACAGCAAACTGTCAGTATGGAATTGACTATTGTAATAAAACTGCTTTTGCAACAAAGCAATTATAYATGCCAAGAAGCTGTTTTTTTAAAAGATCTAAATAAGCCTGTAGAACATCTCTGAGTTCTGAGGCAAGCCTTTCTGATGGGAAAACGTTGAGACAAAATTATGCTTGCATCTGAAAGGTGGCTTTAAGAACCAGTAACACCCTGTCCTGAACTATGCACATTTTGCTATAATTTTGAATTGTGAATTAATATTTATAATGCAGTATCAGGAGTAAAGGGATTTTTTCTCTTCTGGTACTAAAGAATGCTTTCATAAGTGCATCAAGGTAGTCCATATTTTTTTTTACCTCTTTAAATCAACCTGAATTACATTTGGTGGTATACTACTCTTTCCTCTGCAAAATTATAGCTCATACTTTCTTCAAGACCTCTCCAGAAAGATCAAAAGACTCCTACCAAAACCTAAAAAATGAGGCAAATGTCACAAAGATTCATTCTTTCATTCTGTGTGCAGAGTCCCATARGGAGTAGGCTCAGACTATTTGAAAGCATTGGGTTAGTCAGCCAATAATAATGAAAGGCGCTGGAAGGTGTGGAGATTTCTCTAACTAGGACCTCCTACAGGTACAGAGACTGCTTTGATGATGGACTATCTGGGGAAGGAGTCCTAGCATCATATACATTTTTTTTTTTTTTTTTTATGGCTACACTAAAAGAATATTCTACTTTTGGGGGAATGCAGAGGTTTCAGATCTGCCATATTTCTGTTGATATTGATTTAAATGGGAGCCAGAGCTCCCATTTTACATTGGATKATCTAATGAGAACTGCTATTAACTTCCTTTGTAAAACACAATCCTGAATGCTTTACCTATGCCAAAGTCTCACTCAGCTCTTTCTTGAAAAGATGATTTGTCAGCTTTGTTTCAGAAATGTGTGCTCCAGTATACAACATTAAAAGTTTCCTCTGAAAATCTAAAAAAAAAATCGGGTAATATGTCGTCAGCCAGATCAAAACAGCCAATGACGTTTCAGAGATGGGAACAATGAAACTGGTGTGTTCACAGATGGCTGATGCTCTCACCAAAGTGCATCATCTGCTAAAGGAAACTGTCTTTATGAACATTCTTGGCAGTGTGATTGATTTTATACTTTTGCATGTGACTGTGCGGGTACAGAGAACGAGGGATGAGTTAAAAAGAATTTATGAGAAAACATCTCTAGAGATATGATGTGCTTCTGCTGCCATGTAATTATTTTAGGTCCTCATTGGTATTGATACTCAAATGCAATTGGATTTTGAAAAAAAAAGTTGTAAAAGAGTGAGCACCAGGCCATTTCTTAGACTGGTACCAGCATGAGACAAGAAGTGATGTTTTTATAATTCTTGGAGACTCAAGATTRCTTACAAAATAATTGAGAAATACATACCAAGGAGCAAACAACTTACTTAGAGTTAACCCCGCACTCCAAGACAGTAAATAGACCAAAGTCACCTGGTCTTCCTTTAAGAAATGCCAGATCTTTTATTTGTCCCTTCATTTTTTCACCCTGTGTATATACATTACAGCATCAACACAGGCTGAAATTCAATATTCTTGTGAGATCTCCTACCTTCCTTGGGCTGCAAAATKGTTGAATACCCATGGGGAAGCAACATGTATAATCACAGATTTGCGGGGTTATACTTTGTAATAAGAAACAATTTTTAAAGTATTTTTTTACATCACAGCTATAAATCCAGCCCATTTTTTTTTAATAATACTCCCAAGGACATGTTAGCAATGCATCCTCAGTATGTGAAAATTCAYGGGAATAGTCAGAATTGGTGATGGCAAACACCAAAAGCTGGTGGAACACAGCCCCTGGGCCCTGGGTGACTTTCCTCATGATTTAAATCAAAGAATCCCCCACTTGCAGTACAAAGGGATGGAGCATTTCTTGTAAGGGTGAACAAGGTGAACTAGCAGATATTCTAAAATAGCAACCTCTGTGCTGTTCAGTGGTGGCATAAAGCAATGTAATGTTGTCAAAAATACTCCTGTTTCATTGAAAAGACTATCTTTTTGTCTAATAAGGTTGGGGATCATCAAGCTTTCTTTCTGTCAGATAAGAGGGGTGAATTAATGTGATCTTTGTCCCCTGCTAAGCTTGCTGCTTTGTTGGAATGCAATATCTCGTAGATCCTTACTGTTATCTTTTGGTTGAAATTATCAATGGATTCAAATATTGTTGGGACACAAATTTACACRCTCAGGGACAGTAGAAACTCAATGCCTTGGGAAACAGAGCCCAAAATGACTTCCAGCAGAAATTGCATGAGCTGCACAAACTGTATGGGAGTTTGGCTGAAACCTAATTAGCAATAGGAACATTTCTATGCTGATCTTGAAACACAGTTCCTAAGGGCAGGGAAACTACTGAAGTACAGCAGTGAGGGAACTTAGCATTTCAGCATTATTCACCTTCATTGCTTAAAGCCAGCCAAATTACTGCAACCTATTGGATGRGAAGAGATTGTGTTTCTTTTGAACTCCCTAATTTCTAGCTCCAGATGGCAATGTACTTGGGTAACCCATAAACAGACTCATTTTGCCATCCCATGCCACTAATAACCACTGGCTTTTCCTTGCTGCCAAGCTATTGCTCTCAGRCGAGAAATGTTTTCTTCTGCTTTTGTGTCTAGAAGTAGCTGTTCCTGCAGTTAGTGCTCTTGCCTCTCTATGTGGTGGGGTTATTAGTCCCTGCTGCCCAGCTTTGCACTGAGAGCTGGCAGCTGTTCCCTGCTCCAAGATTGTGGCTTCCAGCTCTTGATGCAGTCAGGCCTTGGTGTGTGCTGCTCAAAACGGGCTGCAGGGCTGGGATTTGGATCAGTGGCACATGCTGAATGTCTCTTGGGGCAGAAGGGGAGACCCTCCTGTTTTGGAACGTGCTGTTCTTAAGGAGTTTTGCATTTGCACTTCTCTTGTTTTGTTAATACTCTGCTCCATACYTTTTTGTTTTTGCGTGGAACTGTATGATATAACTGCTTTTAGTCCATGTGCTTGTCATCTGTGCCAGAGGTATCTAGCTGAACCTTAAACCAGAAAAATATATGTTTGCAGATGTTAGGCGCCTACAAGAAAAAGTGCTGAAAACCAGTAACTTGGTCTTGTAATCAAAGATTTTTTTTTTTTTTTAAATCTAAAGTCTTGTTTTGGTGTCATGTTGGATGTTGGCTCTTTCAAAATGTTCACTGCAACTGTAAGGAGTTGTTGTAATATCTCTTCTCCATGGATTAGCTGAGCTTAATTATTGACCTGTGGTCTGTCTGTGAATATCTTTGGGAAATCAGGTAATGCAAAAACATGGGCCATTGATGGTTGTTGTATTTTACACCACAAATCTGCAGAATGTATTAGTTCCTTTGAATTAATTTTTGTGTATAACCAAAAAGCAGGCAAATGCAATGGCTCATGGACTTAGTAAAATCTGGTGCCAGTTTAAATTCAAAGCTGTTTAATAGGATATGTGTCTAGAAATGGACAGAACATATAGTCCTACTGCTATAGCCCCTCCTGGGCTTATTTTCTGCAGTTATAGGATGTTCAGTTGGCAAGACTTCCTTATGGTCTCTGCRTTCTTTATTTTACAATATCAAAATAATGTTAGTTTCTCTGATATAAACATTGCTTAAATATGACTCAGAACTTAATCAATATGTCCCATGTGGGATTCTTGTTTAAGAAGTACTTGGAGTTGTTACAGGGTGGGGGTAGGCACACGTAGCCTATTCAGAAGAGTCATTTGACTGAGTTAATATTTGTCCCGAATCACCTCAAGTTGTACCCAGTGGCTGACTGATCTTGTGAAATTGTGCAGCTCTTTAGTAGACTGGAGGTTAAAGGCTGTAGCAGCAAGTAGAAGACATCTGAGGAGGCTATCCTTGTGCTCCAGTGATCTTGGGATGAGACTGGGACTTTGGAGCCCACAGACAACCTGGCAGTTTAAAGACCCCCTTGGATTAGCAATGTCACATGCCTGGTTTGCAGSCTTACAATTCCTGTAGTGAGTAAATGAAACCTATTCCCTTTCTTGCTTGGCGATCCCATGAGTCCAGACTCTTTCTGCAGAAGCCTGTTTGAAAACAAAGGGAAGGGGCAGCAGCTCCTGGTCTGTGAGAAGGTTCAGGTCCTGCACAATATGATAAGCTGTAACATGTAGGAGGGCATCATTAATTATAATATTCTGATTAAAGAGATTACAATGTTGGCAATAAGGTCATCAGCTGACCCTACTGCCAGACAATGAGGAACTGCTGAAGAAGTTTTCCACATCACTTCTTTGTTCGTATCTTGACCAATGTTTCTTGCTGTACCAGCTTCCAGTGATGACATACATAGACTCTGTTGGCTTGTATATCCTGACTCTCCTAAAAGTATGAAACACTTTCAATATTAAAAAAAAAAAAATAGCTGATAATAGTTGCAATAGAATGCTGTGTCAGGCAACACAGTGTCAGCGCTGCTAGGGTGCAATTGGCAATAGAGAAAGGAAATGGATTTAATATAGACAGAAGAGGATGACATGCTTCTTCTCGGTTGCATGGACGTTGCCAGCCCTGCATGTGTCTCCTCGGCTGGAGTTATGTCCAGCAATGGGCAGCCAGGTAAAAAAAGGCAACTCAGGAGTGCACCCAGTGTCTCCAGTGTGCCATAAGGCTCTGCTGCATCTCCTGGGCCTCAGTGGAATAAAGAATTCTTAAGGAAACTATGTGCAGGAATTTCCTCAGATCTCTTCGCAGACATCTACCAACTTTTGGGAGAATGTTGCAATTACCAGCCACAGGAGACCTATGCATCAAGAAAAATCTTGGCCTGGGGTATCCCTCAGAGTTGCTTCAAGGAACGAACAGACGTTTGTTTTCTACTTTTTATAACAAAACTACTTATGGCACAATTGTTCTCATAAATAACCTCTTTTCTACTTGGTGGGAATAAAATTCTATTGGGAACAAATCAGTTGATTCCTTGCTTGGAAACCCAGTGGGAGTTTTCTCTGCTACCCTTTCTTTCTTTTGAAAATCTCTGCCYCTGAAAATGTGATTTAACTTCTCCTTGAGTCATACTTCTCACAAACAGCATAGAAATACTTCCCAGTATAACTATTAAGTTTGAAATGAAGCATGGTACAATAATTATAATCCTTTAAACTGTAATTTCTTTAGGTTACGCACTAAATGGTGAAAAACAGTGACATAGATAGTACTAGATACAACTGTGTTGTTTGCAAGATGCTGCTGTGAGCTGCCARTATCTGATAAGAAATACAGTGGGACTAATTTTTATTCCACTTAAATGAAATTAAATTGGGTACAGAAAGGTCATGCATCAACTTTGTAAAAATCAAGGCAGAGTGTTTTTTTCTCAAGATACTCCTTAGAAGCCAATCTGTACTATTCTGATGTAAATGTTGCGAGCCTGGATTTGGGTTGGGTTGTTGGGTTTTTTAAAAGTTTAAACCTAGAAGTGTTCCATGGCTGTGTATTTTACATTGAACATGGAATGTTATAGCTACTTCAGTTCTTTAGAGTTAACAAAATGAAGAAGGAAAAGAAACAAGTCTAATTATCTTAGTCTGGGTTAAYTTTATTGCATAAATTAGTGGACATAATACAGCCAATAAACAACATTGAAAAGAATGAACATGATGGGAAAGACCATTCTGGACCACTTGTCTATCAGGTTAACATCAGTCAAATCAGGGATTTTGATTTTGACCTGGGATGCTCTCCTTCGTAAGTGTCCTTTTTGATGGAGCCTGTGCCTGTCCAGAGCACTCCTGGTGTAGAGGTCTCTGCTGGAAGTGGCTCTTCGGTACTGCAGGGTGGCACTGTCATATGGTGACACGGTGGCCCGGGGGTCACGGGGGCTGGTGAACACATCTGAGCTGCCCATGGCATTTCGTATTTCAAGGGGTCTGAGAAGCATGTTTCCATGGGGGTCAACCTGTGTCAAGGAAGGAATGTGGATTAGACAAGTTCCTCAGGCAGCCCAAGGTGTTTCCCAGATGGACCTTGTGGCTCTCATGCCGAGGTGCTCCTGGGGCTGCAATCACAGTCATGTCTGAAGTAAGTATTATCTAATTTTATCCACTTAGATCATGGCCTTTATGAAATATTGATTTTTGAAGTCTGGTGACTGGGCACCTGAAGCTTTCACGTATTTAAGGCAAAAAGAAAATGTTCTGTCTTTGCCCATTTTAAACAGTTTTTGACTGTTTTAGTGTGGATCAGTTTCTAAAGGTTTTGTAACAATGGGTTAATCATAGAAGAGCACGTAGATGCACGTGTACTCCATCAGTGATTCCAAAATACTCGTGATGAGAATTGATTTTGGGTAATTACTATATTACAGAGATGGAAATCATAGCATACCATTAACTTGTTCATGTGTGTATAGAATAATCTATTTTATTCAGTGAAACCTTATATTCAGTTGCCTTTTCATGTGCTGGTACCAGAGGCAATTGTTTCAAACATGTTTGTCACTTTATTTGTGCTGTTARTCATAACACTGTTTTAAGTACCTAAGCAAAGAACTGAAAACTTTAACCAGAACCTACATGACTGGCACAAACATAGGTATAGATAAAATGTTTTCATATAATTGTCATTCTTATGCATGAATGCAATTAACCAGGAATTGCTGCATTGCTACAAAGTGTTTACCTTTTCACAGATCTTTAGTTTTCTACATGTTTGTAGTAAAATCTCCTAGGAAAAGTTGTTTTGCTTTTTTCCAGGCTGACTTCTGACTTCTTCATGAAGACTTTCTAGATATTTCAAATTCACAGATACTTGAACATCCATGTGAGGGAAACACACATCAGAACACAGGTTTCTTAAATGAAACTTCAAGGTCTTCACCTCGAGGCTTGAATATTAATGTTGTTTTTGGTAAACTGTGGTATTGGACCTATCCCAAATTTATGACAAACTAGACTGTGTCTGTGTATGACTTTGTATCAGGGAACAAGATATTAATTAGAGGCAATATCTAATCTTGTGAAGCACAGTTATTATGCAATGCTTTGTTTACACTCTGAGCTTTATATTTTTAGTAAGACATAGCAGAGCTAGGACATGATATAATAATCTACAGCAGATTTGAAGTATGTTCAAGAAAAAATTCCACAGGAAACACACAGGAAAACCCAGTCTCTGTGGGYTGCTGCAAAGGAAAGTTGGGACCAAAGGAAGTTTCAGTCCCACCTGGCAATGTGGAAGGTGTTCCTTCCCATCCCCAGGAGAAATCTTTACATCATAACTGCCAGCATATTCACACTGTGCCAGACAATGAACTTACTAACTGAAAGCAAACAGTGAAGGGACTGCTTGTACAAAAGCCATTCAAGAGAACCATGGGGTGAAAAAGTCTTGTAAGCGAAGTAATTAGTCATCATAGATAGCAAATGCACTGGTCTGGTTTAGAAATTGATTCTGTATGTGCTGAAATGAGCATTCAGTGGGAACACCCCAGTCCCCATCACTGTTTTTGTGGGAAAAGCTCACATTCTGGGTTAGAAAGGCCAGCTTGTCACAAATCACGATGGTGTTTCAAATGTTTGCTTGAGATACCRGCTACGTAGTTCATAATTTTTAGGTCAAGTCTTCAAATTTAAGAAGAGGGAAGATTTAAGCTAGGATTTCCTACTCTCCAGAGGACTGCCACAACTACAGGACTATTCATTAACTCTGAAAATGTGCCATTCTTTCTGTGGAAAAAAACAGTGATCTCAGACTGGTCTCTGTGTAAAAAGAGATTTTTAAAAATTCTCAGACGTTTTGACAGGTCAATCTTTTCTTCCCAGTTTTATGAAATAGCTATTTGAGGTGTCTTTGATTACATGATGTGTAAGCTAATTGACTTTAGTGTTATAATAATAGTAACAATAATGCAAGTGTCATTAAGCAGTTATTATGACTTTTCTTTTGGGAAGACAGCTCGTAACTGCGTACAATCTGAAGTGATTCACAGGGWTCTTACTTTAACTAATACATCCTGACAATTTATTATGAGCCAAGCAGTGTCTGAATACTTGCTCTAAGTGTTCTGAATGAACCTGTTATTTTTAAAATGAATTAAATTGAAACCATTTTAGGCAACATGATTTGTATAYGTCATGAAGCAATTTGATGTTTGAATTGCAGTCTTTGCAATTCAGAGCAAAGAGCCTCACRCTGATCTTGACTAAATTAGCTCATGGAAGTATAAAAGATGTTCTTATGTACCTGGTCAAGTTCTCTGTGCAGTTTCCCGCATAATTTAAAATCCTTTCAGTATATTTTGAAGTTCACTCCAAAGTATTAAAACTTGTGCAGCTGATCTCCTGCTCTTGAGCCAGCAACTCTGGTGAAATAGTTCTCAGATGAATGTGCTTCATCATAACCTAATGGTAATAGCAACTTACACCTCCATCCAAGGTATGACACCCTTCACTAGGCATGTGCTGTACATTCTGTTGACTSTATCTTTAAGAGAGAAGCAAGAGAATTTTACATCCATCAGTACAAAGGTATGTATKTGTAGAGTCACTCAAGTTCCACCTGAACATAAGGAAATAGAATACAAACAAGTTGAGAATGGGGAAAAGTTAGGGAAGATTCTATTGTAACTACTGACATCAGTTGATGGGCTGAACCTGGGAAACAATCACTCTGTGTGTGCTGAATACTCTCATTGGGGATTAGAGCTTCTCTGTGTATTGCTTTAAACGTTTTTGCAGTCAGATACTATCACTGGCAATCCTTGAACCTTAACCTGTTACAATTTTTTGTTAACAGTGATATTCCATAATCTTTTATGAGACTGTGCGAGTCCTGGCAGCTGCTGGCAGCAGCTCAAATAAAGAGGAAAACCCATTAAGGGGTCATAAACCTGGAAGACCTGCTGAGGGGTCTCCCTTAGGCTCTGTCCATGTGTGTCTGTCCCTGAAGAAGTCAGTCAAAGCACCCTCTGATCCAGCAGGCCAGAGCAGAGAAGGGTCCCCCTAACAGGATGCTGATTCAAACCAGGGTTGAATGAATGCCCTACACTAAGGGTCAAGAAACTTCCTTTTTTTCACATGACACTTAGAAAATGAGTTTCATGCTTAGGATCATCAAATGTATTGTAAGTGTAAAATAGTTAAAGTAATAAAACAACCCAAACCCTTGTGCTGACCACATAAAAAGTAGTCAGCTCTAGGAAAAGAGCATGTTGGCATTTCTTGACAGAGAATGGGTCTCAAACATTAAATGCTGTCTGGAATGAATTCTTGTCTACCTATGTTTTTTTCTTTAACTGTTGAGAGGTAAAAGGTAAGAACTTCTGTTTTATCTCAATACAAACCCATTGTCTTTTCCTCTTAACTCAGGGCCATGTTACTCAAACAAGCTGTCTTATTGGAACAAATGCAGTAGTGTTACCAAAATCTGATCTGCAGAGAAACAGCTTATGGTGAGCAGGGCTACAGTAATTCACAAGAAAATTTTCTTGAAGGGTAAGAGAGTTGTGTGGTTATGTGCTTCCCTTCTTTTTCTCCTTTCAGTAGCCACTTGGTTGGAAAATTGTATGTTTTCCTTGGAGCCTGTGGCTGGTCTCTGACTTGCTGTCCCAAGTGTTTAGTGTTTGAAAGGAAAGTGTGATGCTGAGTAAAATTGGGGAGATGGTCTATCACTTGCCTTGTGCTGTCATTAATGAATCTTTTGATGCCTCAGCCCCTTTCCCAGTCACMTTATGATTAGAGCCTACCTTTTTCTCATACTTAAGAGATATCTTCTGTTTAATKACTATTGACACTATAATTATCTGGGGAAACAGAAGCAATTGCGTGCATGGACTATCTAAATATTCTCTTGCTGGGTGGTTTGTCCTATTTATCCATTATTATGGTGGAGTTTTCAGCGACATCTGGCTTCGACAAATGAACAAGGACATATAAACAGTCTTTATGCTTTATTCAGAGAAACAAAAGATTGTTTACTACAAATTAATATGTTTTGTATATTAAAAATAAAAAAWTCATAAATTGTCAAACTGGAGAGACTTTATTTTCACCTTCTTCAGACTGCTGAGCAAGGAACAACCACACAGCAGCTGAGTTTCATTTTTCATTGGGTCTTCTCTATAYTGTTAATATTGTGGTCAGTTTGCTGAGTGTTGCTCACACATCTAAGCTGGTGTTATCTGGTGAAGGAATTTGAGCTCTTTTTGTCTTCGGAGCTGTATGTCAGACAGGAATGATCGATATCTTCACCTGGCACAAAGAGATGAAGCACTGTTACACATCTTCTATTAGTTACAGGGCCCTGTATGGATAAGTGCTGCGGGTCAAGAGTAAAAGGGAAAAAATATCCTATAGCTATAAATACTTACAGCTGTACATTTTTAAGCTCCAAGAAAACTTTCCCCTGCTCTAGTGCAGGCATCATAACACCAGTAAAAAACCTCAAAACATGAAGGAGACGGCATGAGAGCTGTTTCAGTGGGGGTCACATAACCTCACTGCGTCCCACTGCTSCAGTCATGTGCATTCTTCCTGCCAAAGACAGAAATACAACTGTTGGACATCAGCATTTCTGTGCTGAGTAAAATTAATGTTCACAACCTCCCACATCCATGTGTGGGATACAAAATTCACCGATACCCATTCACACATATGTGTTTATGTGTATGTATACRTATATATGTATTTAAGATCACAAACCTGCACTGTACAGGCAAAAAGCAGTCTGTTGACTTCAAGCACTCTCAGTCTCAGAATGGAATAGCTTTCTGAAGTGTGAGCACTTACAAATCCTGGTACAAAGCATGTGTGACTTCCTTTTTCTAACAGAAAAATGCTGGYGTGTGCATGTGGTGCTTTAAAAACTTTCCATCTCATTCTGAGCACCAATCCCAGTGTACTCTTTGCTGCATAACATTTAGACAAAAGCTTTTAGGTATGAGACACGGCATTTTTAAAGTTAAACAAACTCTCCAAATATGTAGGAAAAGGACTTACCTGCACTCTTATCCTTTACTCAGTTCAGTGCACTGGCGCACATTGTAGCCAAGGCTGACCTCTGAAGAAGTCTTGATTGCCTCTTCATGGTGAATCCTTGCTGTGCAGCTTCTCACCTAGGCTGGCTTTTCTCAGGAGCTGCTGAGGTAGCTGGTAGTGGGTTATTTTGTTTTTCCCCTTTCCTTCTTTTCCATAGAAACAGACAGACAGTGTCTATGCACAACAATCCGCACTGGGGTGGCTCATCTCCTCTGCTCTGTGGAAATCTGTTCTTTATGGGATCTTGGAGACTGCTAGTTGGTTGCCTGAACTGAATTTGTGCCCTCACTGTAATAAAGCATCTCCTACACAATGGGACAGAAGGCAAATGTAAGTCAGAAATCTTAATGGGCTCATGAGTTGACTGAGACTGAGGGTATGATGGCTTTTTTAATGATGCACAGCTGCAGTGGTGGGACACACCACCACTCTAGAATTAGACACAGCTCTAGAATTAATAAAAGACACACAGCTCTAGAATTAATAAAATACCACAGAGTTTCTGAAATACACTTCCTGGTGTGTATGTGACATTGTAGCCACCTATCAAGATAAAGTCTTATTTGTTATAGTTTTATGTATCGGTCTCATTCTTCAGACTGAGCAGAAAGCTTGAATACAATTTTGTCCAAATGTTATCCCCTCAGTCCACAACAGTACAGAGCTTTATAGGACAGCCTGGACAAGATCTCATTAATACTTGGATGTAATATATTGTAAGAAAAGCAGAGGAAGGAAGAAAATTTTTGGCTCATTAGGATATGTATTTTCCTCTGAGTCAGACTGGGCCAAATACACCTGAGGCTTCAAAGGGTTTATTTCTGAAAAAATTTGGAAAAAGAGAAATAGGTTTATGAACATTTGCAAGTGCATATGTCCACGGTATTACTTCCTGAAGTTTTTCTGCCTTTTTTTTTTTTTTTTTTTTTTTTTTTTTTTTAGGAGGGAATAGTTGTGGTGTGCCTGAATTTAGCTAGGGAAAAATCCTGACATCTATGAAAGCTGTTATAACCTAGCAGCAGAATCCTTGTGCTCCTCAAGGTTCTTCAAGGCTCAGTGCTACAGGTGTCATTCAGGGCTCACTGAAGTAACAGAGCCTGTCTTTGCTTTTTATTCGTGGTGAAGTTTCTGTGTGCAAAGAGGAGCTTTATTATAAACTTTTATTCTATACCACCTTCTAAAGCAAAAAAAATACACAGTTGACGTAGTAAATATTTAACTTCCTTGTACCCCCTGTACTTCTTCTCTGCTGCAAAGAAATGTGTGTCCTGAATATTCATTTGTATTTTCTGTATTTYATTACTATGTTTTCAGCTGAAGATGGAACAGACCATACGCTGCTGTAATCTCCTTAAAGTACAATTTTTCTCCAGGCAATCTTAAATGTTTTTTCATTTCTGCATGTGTTAAACCTGTTCATATACATGAACACTGTCACAGTGAAAATAATGTTTGAAAAGACAGCTCGAACATTTTACCTGGACTCTATTTGTGTCCAGTCTGCTCCTCTCGCCTGTACCGTGTCCTGCCCTGCCTGCTGTCTTTTTTTGACGCTGAGGTCCTTTCCCAAAGAATATGTAGTTTACAAAGGCATATTCCAGCAAAGCCAGGAACACAAACACAAAGCATCCCATCAGGTAAATATCTATTGCCTTGACATAGGGAATCTTCGGCAAGGTCTCCCTGAGGTGGGTACTGATGGTGGTCATGGTCAGCACAGTTGTGATTCCTGAGAAAGGAACAAATAGACATTGACTAATATGACAAGGAAGGGGATTTGAGCATGAAAGGCATCATGGCAGCACTGCTCTTCTCATGCAGATGGATTAATTATGTGATCAGATCCTTAAGGCAAGGGAATGCATTTTGTATAACTGGAAAGGAAGATATCTTTGCAAATCTGCTGATGGCACCTTCCTTAGCTTTTCATGCAACAGAGGGTGAATGAAATAACCTTCAGTGGCCCAGGCCAGGYTGGAACATCTTGCCTTAATTTTTGCAATAACTGCTAGGGAATGTGGTGTGAGCTCACCTGGAGAGCAAAGACTTGATTGCTGTTCTTTCTCTGTGAGAAAATGCTTCTCTCTTTATTTACAGCAGCCGCTCTGCTTGACTGCATGGGGTGACTTGCACTGCTGTGGGGATGTGGAATAAATATCTAACTCTTGTTTGAAAACGGATGATTGAAAGGAGAAAGTGAAGCCTTTTCATAAGGTGATTGTCTTTGATGAAGAGAAAGTGATAAATCTGCTTGTACCAAAACAACCCTTCCTGTTAACTGGGTGCTTGCAAGTAAAGCATTTCTATCTCATTGTGTTATCCATGGAATGATTCTTCTTCTCATATGTGTTTTTTTCTTTTAGCTGGATGAAATTATTTTTAGTCTGCTTTAATCACAGGTCATTAACACATGTAGATAACAGCTCTAGGCACAGGTGTAAGAAGTTTAATTTGCAGAGAGATGGRACAAAATAGAAGTGGGACAAAGTGGCTTTCTGGCATTAGAGTAGAAAAACAAATATGCCTTAAAGCACAGATAGTGGCAGAAGATCTTAATTTTTATGCAAAATTGTAGGAAGGAACATGGTATGGGAAAGGTAAAACAGACTTATTTGGTGTAAGCTGGTGTATCTCCACTRGTGTCAGTAGGATCTTGTGTATTCATTCCAGTCACAGACCCGGCCTGAGAGGATCCTTTTTAACATCAGCAGGGATTGTTCATGCAGCACAGTGTCGACACCCTTACATAGCTGAATTGGACTTTCATGCTCCAGTTTGGGAGCAAGATACTTTTGGCCAGATCCAAAGACCCTTATGAACTCTGGAAGTCAGTCAGGATCCCAACCTAACTGCGGAACAAGAGCTTCAGATGTAGGCAAAGTCACCCCTGCCTGCCTTCCTGACAACCAAAGCCCTGTGCTGCCTGTGTAAGATCACAGTTAATGATGCTGCCATCATTAATTGGTGCCACTGTATGGATTATGGATTATGGATAATTGGTGCCAGGATGGATTTGGTGCCAAAGGCAGCACGTGTCTATGTAGTTCAGTCACTTTGAGAAGACGTTACCTAGAGCAACTCTGGCTGCAGAGGCATCGTAATTGATCCAAAAAGACACCCACGACAGGATCGTGATCAGTGTGGAAGGCATGTAGGTTTGCAAAATGAAGTATCCAATGTTTCTTTTAAGCCGGAAGCTAAGTGATAATCGAGGATATGCTCCTGAAAGAAAGAAGTCATATAATGACTACTGGCTTATAAAAGGTAGGCACTGATATTTCTGGGTTGGAGGAAGAGGGGACAACTTTTTTTACTTGCTGATACTTACCTGTTGTAAATTCCACTCTCTTTGACACCATCTTGTAATCCACAATAGAAAATTGTGGGAGTTCGATGTTATTAACTCCTGTTACTGCCGACTCTCCTCCATTCCAGTAAAATTCAATATCATCAGTAGTGTATCCATCTGAAACAGAGGCACAATTTGATTATTKACTTTTCTTTTTGTTTTATTACTTTGCTTAAATAGTTGCAGTTCAAGTGGAAGGAACTGCTGTTAATCAAGAATTCAGCCTTCTGTTGTGTAACACTTCTGTTATACAGAAGGCTCCTCTGTACCTGATGAAGCTTCTAGAAAAGGAAAAGACAGAAAATAAGGACAGAATTAATGATTAAAGTTTGTTTTTTAACTAGCTCTAATACAACTACTTTTCATTCAGGCTTGACTTGCTCATTTTGCCAACAGACAGATATGCCATCAGCAAAACTTTTAAACTCTCTTTGGAGGAGCTCTGACAGTAAAAGCAGGTTCAGTTCCCAGCTTTTCATTTGATTTCCTATGCAGGATGTGAAAAAATATAAGGTTGGGAGCTAGTGGAGGCAAAGATGATTCTAGAAGAATTAAGGTGCCTGTAATATTACCTGACAATGTCTGTCAGAGCTGTAGGTAAACTTTGATATTCATGAAGCATTTTATATTTTAATTAGACCATCCTATCTTTGATCTTCTGTTATCACAGAAATATTTCTTTTTTACTCTAAAACTAGCACCTTTCTTCTGTTTCCTTTTAACAGTGATGTTGATTATTTATAATTTAATTAAAAATTAATTTGCCATTCTATCACTGGAAATGTTAACATTATTGTTACCATTTTCAGAAATATTTTGATTGAACTCGGAAGTGATTGAGTTTCAAAAAAGACTTGCAATTGACAAAATTTTAAACTAATATTTAAACTGGTTCACTTTATTGAACTTTTCTACTTTCCCCAGATATCTACCAAAGGAGAGAACATCTCATCTATTTTTAAATTTTTGCTTCAGGTGTTAGATTTGATCAGGTTTAAATCATATAACCCAGATCAAATGAAAACATGTGTTTGAACTCAAAGCTTTAGAAAACCTGACAGCGCTTTTGCCAACTGAACTCACCGTAGCATCAGAACCTCCACAGAGCRAGGAACCTATCCTCTCATATGCACCAGGAATGCAGTATCAAGCTAAGGAAATTAGACTTGAGATRTCTTTTCCTATGATGGTGCCTAGAAACAGCCTCATCCCTGGAAGGCTGACCACATGCAGAACAGATCCATGGTTTCCCTGGTGACAACCAGAGAAGTTCTTATGACTTGCTGCCAGGCTCCAGAGATTGCTTGGAAAGTCTGCAGCTATTGAACAGCTATCTTTTGATGTAAACACACAGTGATGAGCTGAACAAGGTTAAATGTTCACATATTTTATTTTTGAACTGCTCAGTGCCATGGTGTTGTAACTATCTGAATTGCTCTGAAAACCACACTAACCGATGTAACATGGATTGCTGCTGTAAGCTTCCCATTATTTATGCTGTTTTATTCTTTTTCAAATGAACCATCCCAGGGCTGTGACACAGAGCTCTGCATGGCTTGTTTTCATTCCTTTTCATTGCAAAAGGTCAAGGYAGCTGCTTGGCAGTAGGACTTCAGCAGCTGCTTTAAAGGCTTTGCATCATTACCTTGATGCTGAGCAGGTACTTGCTGCAAAGTCACAGGTGAGGGTTTAGATGTGGGAATCCTCAATTCTGCCTCAGAGTTTGGAGGAAAACCATGAAACTGGTTGTTCCTCTATTCTGTGCCATCATTACCTGTTGCCCTTTTCCCATCCTGCCCTTCAGTTTTGCTCTGATTGTGCTGCTTCCTTGGACAGTGTATGCTGGGACCCACGGCAGACAGAGGAGTCATCTGCAGTCCTCAGCAGCTCCTGATTGCAGACTCTTAAGGCAGCCCCAGCCAGGCTCTCTGCAGTTTGTCTGATGTTTTGACAAGAGAGGGAATAGTTTGGGCACTTTATTGTGGCCAAAATTCTCTCCCCTGAAGGTGAATTATTAGTGATTTAGCTGTTAAAACCCACAATGGTGCCAAATGAACACTTAGGATATCAGAAGGCAGATTTTAAAAAGAAAACTGGCACAACCTCCCATGAAAAGATTGCACCATGTTATCGATCCACTGTGTGGTGATGTTGGAACTTTGCAGAAGGAAATTATGAGTTTTTAATGCAGACAAATGTGCTTTCCCCTTGTCTTGCTTTCTATGGCTTTGGCTGCTAAACGAAAAGTTGTACTAGTAGGTTATAAAGTCAACTGAACAAAGCAAGAATCTTGCATGTAAAGTATCAGCTGGTGACCAGCTGTCACTGCTGACAGGGCATGTTTTTAATCTCTACTTAAAAAGAGATAAAATAAAACAAAAAATGGGTATAATGTGAGCTACCACTTTATCTAAACACACTGATTTCTTTCTTGAATTAAAGCTTCCTTAAAGCTGAAGGAAATTATATGAAAGGGATAGTGATGTTTTTCACTCAGGAGCATTAACGTTTTTAAGGTCTCATTTAGAAAAATAATTGAGCAAGAACATCTTCCTGTGGTTTTAGGTACAGTAAACTTCAGTACATTCATTATTTCTTTGGCAATCATTTTAATATCTCTGCTAGACATTAACAAGGTGCAAATTCTCCCCAGGCAGTCCACTCCTTGACGTGATAGGATTGTTGCTATGTGATGCTCTTTCCTTTTGTGCTTTACACATGGTTCTAGGTGTGTGAGAGGCATTGATTTCATGGGTGCAGGAATTGGAAGCCCTCACGTTTTATAGGTGTCGACATGGCCTTTTTCTAGCAAACTTGGGAGGAAGGCAGTTGGCTGCAGTTTAAAGACAGGAATTGATCTCAGCTCTGAACAGTTCGCAGAATACAGATTGCTCCTTTTCCTTTTCAAGGGGACAATGCCTTTAAGAGAGGATCTGTAGTGATGTAAATTAAGAAACMTTTAAGTGTGGAGCATCACTGACTGCTGGCTAGCAGGCATTGAAAAACGCTTATTTTGGGCAGCAAATACCTTAGCGTTTGCAAAGAAAGAAAAGCTATTTCAGCGATAGGAAAAGTGGGTCGTGCCAGTGCAGTGGTCAGTGTTAATKCTGGTCTGTTCACTGAACTTACCTGTACAGCCCAGGTATTCCCTCGGCAGCTCTCTTCCCGTATAATCCTTTTCCCTCTGCCTACGTATCCATGTCATCAGTTTAAACGCACACCTCTGCTTTTGTTACAGAGAGAGCAGCGCTCGCAACTGCCCCGCGATGCGTGAACACAAATTTCACAAGAGTCAGATATCGCGGGCCG